CCCAGCTTGCAGCGGTTTGAGCTCCAATACTTGCAGATCCTGGTGTACTTCAGGGAGTCGCGAATCTGCGGAGTCGTCATAGCTTCGCTGCGATCTCCTGCAGGACCACTACGCACTCGCCTGATACAGTAATCGCTGTAAGAGCGGCTGCGGGAAGATCCGACAGTACTAATCTATGTCTACATGTTGTTCCTGTTGCTGCACGGACTTCGCAGGCACTCTTCCAAAATCTGGTTCGGTCCGTGGGGTCCGCACTGAGGTGGGACGGGCTCTCCACCTGGACATCATCCCGGTGCCCCGTGGAAGACTTGGAAGCTGGCTTTGCGCTGGGTCCTGTGCCTCCTCTTCCGGTGGAAGGACTGCTGCTAGCACAGTAAAGGCGAAGGGAGTGCGCTCCGGGACCTCGCGCCACCCAAGAAAGCCAGCAAGCCTCACTGCCAGATCTGCCAGACAGTGCTTCTGGAGTCCTGGGAGGTGCAACAAAAGGAGGCGATGCGCGAGTCCAGCCTCAAGTCAGGGCCGGCTCCAGGCCATGCGGTGTGAGTCAGCTGAGCTTCAGGCATAGCCTGCATCTGCCGCGACCTGGCATCCTCGCACCTGCACCGAGTTCATGCACGTTCGCAGTGCACGGAAAGCGAACCATTGAATCGCTCCGATGTCGGACACATGTCAGAAGTCATCTGTCGCTGGCGAAGCTCCAATATGCTTTCGTTCACCCAAAACTGCTCGCTATCAGCAACGCCTTTGATCCCATCTGCGTACTGTTTCCCACACATGATGCTTTTGCCAGGCTGGGTGCCGGACCTGATATCAAAACTTTTGACAAAACTACTTCGACTGCACTGACAACTACCTGTAGATAAATTATGAACGGTGACTGGTGTGTGCAGCGGTTGCGAGCAAAGATGTGGATGCTTGTTGGGATTCCAGAATGGGGGTTAACTGTTCGCTCCTGCAAGTTACTTTCCAAAGTTCAACACGCACAGTTCTTCCCCTGGTTTTTAATGCTGAACTCGGCTTGCTTGCACGCTGCACCCTCAATCATTCCCGCCTGGCATTCGGCAACCTCTGCGCTACTGCCGGAGAGCCATCCTTGCCAAAGCACTCGCAGCAGTCGTAAGACCAGCAGCAGAAACAGCCTTTACAGCAGTCTGACCCATGACCAGCTAGCGATGACAACAGTACATGTTTCAAAAATGATGATACGGATAACACCACAGGCATAGCACTCGCGGGAGGACCGGCTATAGCAAGAGTTGCAGAGATGAGGCGCTAGCCGCTAGCAGGGATAGCGGGATAGCGGCATCTACAAAAGCCCGTCCTCCAGCTCCGCTGAGCTCGGGGACGTAATGACATAAAGCAGCTCGATCAGCCGTCCTCGGCAGAGAGGCAGACTCCCTCCGTCTCAGCCGATGTGATTTTGCAGTGAGTCCTTGCCCACACTTCAGGGTGGCCGCTCGCGGCACTTGCAGCAAGCGCAGCACCGGCACCTGCGCTTGGAGTCTTCCGCGATGCACACGACACTTCCCTTCTTCCCCCCTTCTGTAGAGCTTCTCTCTGAACTTGGGGCAGGGCGGTGAAGGCCCGTAAAGAGCGGCGCACGCGCTCCTGGGAAGGCTCCTGGACTGCGGCCGGCCTCGGAGCAGCGAAGTGAACGGGGTCCGGTGGAAGCCCTGGAAGCGTTCCAAGTCTGTATTTCTTCCCCGCTCTCGTCGGCCCTTAAGGCCCTGGAACGAAGTGAAACGGCAACTCCCACAAGTCAGGCATGACGCCGTGACAAACTGTGCACACGGTGCGGGACGTGCTGCGCCACGAACTTTGGGACCAACGCTGGTAAGATTGCACTTGCAGGCTCTGTCCGACACACGTGCGCATTGCGGCGCAAAGAGCCTGTGCAGACCTGCTACTGCGCTGCACGGGACAGGAAAAACCAGTGCTGCATGATCGCATCCCTGCCACTTTCCGACTTGACTTGACACAGGTACGGATATCTTGAGGGGGAAGACGGTTGACAGATGTTTGTGGACGTGTTGATGTTTTGAGGTCTCTGGTCAGAGTCCCTGAGCACCAAGCTCCAAACTTGGTACACTCTCGGTTTGTCATGCTTGCGCTGGGGCCTCTAATCTTCTCTGTATCGTCCCAACTTTTACGGATGATCCCTTAGTGACCTTAGTGCAATAAGGACTGGGGCGATGTGGGTAGGGCTTAGGGAGGCATCGGAGATTCAAGGATATGAGCTCACCATGGCCTAGCAAAAGCTCCTCGCAGCTTTTGGCAAACGGATAAATTTGCGGTCACGAAATCATGGCCTGCTCCGGGGTGCGGCATGAAGTCTCGAGATCACGAAGCTACGAAAAAGACTGCACTTTGGCAAAGGACTTGGTGCCTTTTGAAACATCCTCCCGCGACAGAATGCTTCGGAGGAAGATGCGAGCCGGAAGGATTTCGGGTCGCCCCCGGCATCCCCCGCAGACTCGTCAAAGGGAGAGTTGCACCTTGTCGCCGACATCCTCAGATGTTGCTTCCTCACCTGGCCGAAGGAGTGGATTCGGGCTTGAGGCAGATCTGAAACTTGATCTTTCGGCCTTCGGCTACTGTTTGCAGGCTGCCCAGTTCACTGCCAGATCCAATCTGCCTGGCGCAACGAAACAGATACCACCCAATGCTTCTCTCACAATGCACATCTGTGGAGCATGTGCTGATGCCCTGGTTGTGACATCGGGCCGGCCGTTTCTCCGCGCAGATATTTTCCCAGCCTGTGGGTAAGAGTCCGCCTGGGCTCGTCTGTCGAGCTAGCATGCAGAACTACAACCGGCCCACTGGCATGGCCATGGTGGCCAGTCCACGCTTTAACATGGAACGCATGCCTCTCACATTCCACTGTCTCTATCCCGAAACTCATCAAAATTCTCGTCGTCATGGAGGGCATACTGCCCGTAATGCCCAGGCGTTGGTTGCAAGTCCTCACGCGCACCAGCCGGAGGATAGGAAATGGAGAACCACAACAGAGCTGATTATGGAGAAAGTTTTTTCCTGCCAATCTCTGTGGCCACCTTCCACAAGACTGCTGCCAACCCCGCCTCGAGCTTCGCATTCTTCGGGGGCTGCCAGTGCCTGCCAAAAAGAGTCAACGAGGTTCAAAGGCAGCAGGTGTACTCGGACTTGGGGGAAAAGGCACTTCTTCCTATCCGGGCAAGGTGCTCAAAAAAACACATCTTGATGCTCTGCGCAGAGCACGCCGCAGTGGCTACAGTGACCGTAAGACTTTGTGTCGCCAGCTGCAGAAATATGAGCAGAGGCACACCACGCTACAAGGCGATGCCTGGTAGTAAGCGTAGGAGCCCACCGAAGGCTCTCCTTCAAGGAGGGGCTTGACCCAAGGCATCCCTCCAGCTCTCTGAAACTAGCTTGAACTTCAGTTGTCTGTATTGAAAACTCCTGAAAAGCACATGCCCTGCAGAGTCACTTTGTCTCAACCCCAGTGAACTCACAAGGGTGCTGTTTTCCGAAGCCCACGACGGTCCGTTACCAACAGCTGCTGGGAAGCTGGCTTGGGAGCAGCCCGCGGGGGCGCCTTGGAAAAGTCTGCAGAGACTCGACTCGACAGAGTCGTCTCTGAGATGCACTGATGCAGGCCTTCCGCTCGAGCTGCTCGAGCTCTTCGTCGATCGGCGGAGCCATGCCAATCAGCTCCTTGGAGCTTATAAGCCCTTTCTTAGCTCCGAGCTCCGAGCTGTCGCTTCCGAGGCGCATTCAACACTGCCCGGTTGGTGCAGAAGTCTTCGTCGTCGTTGAAGCGCGAGGCGGCTGCTAGCATCTGCAGCACCCCGGCTTGGCCGGTCTGGAAGCCATACTTTGGAAGCACCTGAAACTCACCGAAACGCGGCTCCGCCAGAGATTTTTTCATGCTCTGCGGGCGTGCAACGAAGCCTTGTTCTGAACCGTGAGGAAAAGCTTGGTGTGATCCTCCGTGTAATTCTTGTATGCCTTTCCATGAATGGCTTCCAGCTCTGCCAGGGCCTCATGGTATGACAATGCGACCCAAAAACCAAAGTCCCGAAGCGCAACAGCAATATGACAGCAACAAGTCGGCAAGTGGCATCTTGGAAATCCTTCTCCGCAAAGCCCATGTAAAGCTCGGCCTTGCCGAAAGAGCTCGACAGGGCTCCAGAACCATCGGAATTATCGATCTGGACTCTGTGCTGCATTGGACGTCGCTGTCGTACGACACTCTTTCGAACTGGCTATGGGGACGGCCTGCAGGTCCTTGATTTCCTGCAATGAAAGCTCGGGAGGTGGCGGCATCGCACGGCACGCAAAAGATCTGCCGAGGCCTTTCTCAACACATACATCACATACTTCTCCTTTTTAGCATTAACACGTTGTCCTGCTCCGAGAACATTCTCTCAAATGTGGTTGTGAACGAAAGCCGTTTGGTACAGCCGTCTGCATACACAAAGCTTCCAGTCTTGCACTGAGTGGACCTTGGTCTACGGTCTTCGTATGCTTCAAGCTGACCATGTCACGAAATGATGCATCTGAGCCAGCTGTGCTTGCCAAGACGTCGAAGAGGCCAGCTCAACACACCCCAGGGAACAGTCACAAGGTAGTGCTAAGCCACACAAAACGGACATACGCCTAGACATGGTCGCCATTAGACCACAAACATCGGATTTTTGACCGCAAACCTGACGAGGCGTTTTAACAGAACTGCTTGTAGAATTAGACGATCGAGCGAGTAGACATCTACGTGCCATCCCGAAAGTTGTCAAAAGTAAGGTCTGGCAGCAGCATGCAACACGAGTGCCATGCAAACGACATTGCGGCGCTACACAGGGTTGTACAACATTGTGACCACATGCCATAAGCACATGCCGCATGACTGACAGCATGCCCTAACCCTCGCACATGGCACAGCAAGAATGAGAACACGGCAGAGGCAGCCCTCGCTTCATTCAACTAACTCAAACTGCAGGGAAGAGTTACCTGTGGGCAGGTTGCGGCCAGTGCATCTCGCCGCACACGATGCGACAATCAACATATCAAGAATCTCCGATGCAGTGCTAAGAAGGCGACCGTCCCTTTTTCAAGCAAGGTGAATTAGCAGCTGTCACTCAGCTGGGAGCTTGCCAGCTTGTCCTGCGACACGACGCAAAACACACGGAGAGAAGCAGTTTCCGGCCTTCCAAAAGCACATATATGCTAGCCAGGACTGTCTGACAATTACGGCAAAATCAAATGTCCTCGTCAGAGCTCATCTCGACAAAATCGAAATCCCAAACATCTGGCAACCCCAAGTGTGGCCAGCCCTGGCCATTGCGTCGCTGCAGGCACAGTGCCATCGAATATGGCAGTAGATACTTGCTCCGCATTGCGTTCACAGGCCTGCCTGGAACAATTCTGCTGCAGGAGCTGTGTCTGTCGCCTGTCGAATCGGAGGCTTTTCATAGGTAGCTGCTTCAGGATGGACGGTTCTGCGCGTGAACCCGGCATCAACGACAAACCGATCTCCTGCAAATCTTAGACCACAGGAGCCTGGCTCGTCCATCGGAATGCAGGATAACTTCCATGCGATGGTCCACTCACGGCCTGACCGGCCACCAAGGAACCAGCCCTCCACTAGATCCATCAGGTCAATCTTCAGTTTCCTGCGCCTGCAACCTAAAAAGCAGCGCCTGGCAAGCCATTCGCTTGAACAAGCAAGCACTTGTGACCTGAACACAGGATGGGTGAGAGACTGCGCGAGATCAATGCCTTTGAGACATGCCTTTGCATCAATTCCTCCATTCGGGATATTGTTCACCATCCTTGGCTTGGACTTTTCGGCTCTGCGACCCCATCAACGAAATCCATGGCTTGCAAACCGCTTGTCGCAGCTGGGCGTCGCATCCAAATCCAGCCGGGCCATGATGGCATGCCCTGGCCCGGCAGGGAATCCTGGAACTGCATCCTGCGCACAGGACCATTGGACCATGACCCTCACACGGCCAAACATAGCAGGGAAGCAGTACTGCCCTGTCATCTCGTCTAGAGGCTTGTTGCCACAGCTCCTTGGGATCGTTGCGGGTCATGGTTGAGCGCATGTCGCCCAGTTGACCTCTGCTGTTCAGAGATTGAGCAAACCCCACCGCAGCAGCATCAACCAAAAAGCACCCACATCCTGAACAAGACTGTTGACAGAGTATATCTTATGCAAGATAGCCCAAAAGCGCCAATTACGTACAGGTAAATCACCCGAAAAGCAAGATTGCGCAAAGCCCTGCTTCAAAGAAATGCTACAGAAGCGCATGACTCTATGCCTTCTGGCTGCTCACTCCGGACCCAAATCGACGGAGCAAGGACGCACGCGGTGAGTCTTCGAAGGAGAACAGCTTGCCGTAAGACTCCTCGAGGCTCATGAAACCGGTGGCAACGGCAACAGCAAGGATGGAATATATGGAATCCAAGACTCCTCAGCGGTCTTGTGCCCAGACATCCGTCTGATGTCCTCGGACAGCCGGGCGAGAAGCGTGAGGCAACCCGATACTCATGACGAGCATGGCGAGCTCGTGCCTCGAAGAATGGACGATTGAAGGACCCCCAATAGCCACGCGAAGTGAGCTCTGTGGTAATGTCCGCCTGCATGGTAGCAGAGTT